GGGGACCTGGGAGCCAGAGGCTGAATGGCTGGCTGTGGCCCCCACCCCACCCCACCCTCCCCACCCCGGCCAAGGCCGAGCAAGCAGGTCCCGCAGCTCTGGCTCCTGGGCCTTTGTTGCCTCTTCTTGGTCTTCAGGGGTCGCTGCCCACTAGGCTCAGCAGGGCGTTCTTGAAGTCACCGCTGGTGTCCCCCTGAGGGCAGGAGGCACGGAGGGTTAGAAGGGGGTGTTTGCTGGCCAGTCCCTCTGGGTCCCCATGGCGCAGGCGCCACCCTGTCCCCCTCTCCCTTGGTCTTCCGTGTTAGACCATTCCTTTGTACTGCCTTGTGATTCCCTGCACCGTGGGGGCCTGACGTGGAGGGTCCATGGCAGAGGTGGCTCCGTCTGCTCTTAAACAAGCCGATGTGTGGGTGGCTCCTCACCCCTCGGCTGCCCAGGGCTCATACCACGTCTCACTGGGGACCCAGGTGCACCCTGTCATTCATTTACTCAGCACGACCCAGTTTTGTTTGACACCTGCTCCTACAGTCCGGGGAACCCAGGCTGAAGGCAGTGCCCAGAGCCGCAGCTGGAGGCAGGCCCTGGGGGACTGAGCTTGGCTTTCGGGCACGCAGACCTGGAGCACAGCTCGTCGGTCACCGACCGTGCGGCAGAGCACACGCTTCCCCTAGGAGACGCTTCTCATCTAGAAAACGAGGCTGGTGCTGACTGCATGTGCTGAGGCATGGCAAGGGGTGATGGGCAGGTGCAGGGGAGCCTGTGGGTGGAGGGGAGACTGCAGGTGCAGGGGAGATAGCAGGTGCAGGGGAGACTACAGATGCAGAGGAGACAGCGGGTGCGGGGGAGCCTGCCCACAAGGCCCTCGCTCACACCAGGGGTCTAGCTGCTTCATCTCTTGATAAGATTGACCCTGTAGATCCATGTGGGAGCCCTGATTCTGAGCTTTGGGCAGGCCCTGCCAGGACTGGCTTGTCAGGGGTCTGCCCACGGAGTCCGCAGAGCATCGGCCCCTCTTACGAGGGTGGAGACGAAGGGCAGAGGCCACAGCAGGGATGGGCAGGAGTGTGGTCCGTTCTACTTTTCTAGGCTCTGGGACTGTTTAGGTCTCCTGGGAATGAACTACTCCTTGACAGGTCAGCAAACTTCGGCCCTGTGGAGCCTAAACCCTTAATGTGGATTTAAAACCACATTTTAAATTTCCTATTTTACAAAACATTAATTTTGTCTACTTTATCAAATGTATGGATTATGCGTGGAATTTTTTTTTTGAGAGTGTTTTGTTTTGTTTTGTTTTTGCTATTAGGGTACATGCCCTTGCAGAGAGACAGAGAGAGATGGAAAATGAGAAATCCACCCCCACAGGGAGGAAGGCCATGCCGCAATTCCTTCTTTCGGGATTTTGGGCATACACACACATGCCCGGCATGAGTTTCAAACCACTAGGTCCGGGACTTGACCCACAGTTGACTCTGTGAGAGCCCAGTGCCTTAACTGCCACACCACCACGCCAATGGGGCAACCACGCCTCAAATGGCGAGCCAGCTGTCTGGCGAGACAGAGGCACCTCCCTGATCGGTCTCTGTGTGCTCCCACCACGACCCTCCTCTGGCTGCAGCCATGCTGACCTCGCCGAACCCCGAACACACCATGTGGCAATGCCTGCAACCCTTGATGCCCAGAGAAAGCTCCGGGCCGCCCAGGGACGTATGTTTCGAAAGGGCCTGCATGCTGGGCCCACGGCTCGCTCACCTCGATCATGCTGCTGAGCGTCTTGCCGTATAGCTCCTTGAACTGACACTTGATCAGATTTAAGTCAATCTCGCTCCTGGAGACGATGTTCCTGATCAGGGTCCCGTCACGCGTACCTGCTCCCTGGACAGGACAGTGGCAGTCAGAGGTGGCTCGTGCCTCTCCTGTCCTCTCTGCCGTGGTGGGCAGATCTGTGCCGCACGTCCTGTGGCGTTCAGAGGCGGGCCCGAGCCTCTGCTTCACGGGGAGAGCACTCCGAGGGACGTGCGGGTGGCGTAGGGTATCCATTCCCTCAATCTCTCTCGCTCACTACCCTCGTCTCTTCCCTTATTAGAAGCCAGATGCTCCACACGGCAGCGCCTGGCTTCCCACCTCGGAACCTAGACACATGAAGCTCACTGCCCGGGGGACAGCACTTCTGCCAGGGCAGCACCACCGTGGCTTCGCCAGCTGGCCAGCAGGTCTTCCTGCTCACCGTCGTCCCTGGAGGGTCTCAACATGGCCCAGAGAATCCCTCGCCCTCTCTTATGTGCGGGCAGCCATGAGCAGAGGGCTCGGGGTTTCCGGCATGGCCGCACCCCTGGTGGCGTTTGCAGTCTTAGTCAGAGAGGGCGGGCGCTGACTTCAGTCTTGGGAATTAAACGCGGATCTGCCTTCCAACCTGGTTCCAGGTTCCTGAAAGCCCACTGACCTAAGTGGCCTGGGATCTGTGCCCTCAGATTGAGCTCAGGAAAGCCGAGCTCTGTGTGGCACCCTCCCTCTGTGGCACGTGCGACCGCCAGCTGCAAACCCGCTCTGGAGGCCGCGTGCTGCATGAACAGAGGCCTGGGCTGGCGGGGTTCACGCTAAGCTCTGCCAGCAGCAGCTGCCCCACCTCGGGCGTGAGCCTTGGCCTCGCCATCCCTGGGACGGCCAGACCTGCAGGCCTCAGGACCGTTGGAGGGCAGTGCGGTGAGTGCTGTGAGCACCTGTTCACATGCGCCTCCAGGGGGCAGGCCTTCCCCTGCCCAGACTCCGCTTCCCTCCCAGGACCAGGACGACACCCTTCTGATACACAGGAGGCTGGGCTAAGGGAAGACCCGGCATGGGAGACGGTGACCACGTGAGGCCACGTGGGCGGACTGGCCGCCGGGGAGTCGGGAGTTACCTTCATGGCGAAGTGGAGTCTCTCCGCGAAATAGCTGTGGAGGTTCCGGGTGCATTTCACTGGCAGACAAGAGAGCTCTGTTAACGCCCGCAGGTGGCACGGCCAGCCTCACACACTCCTTTATATATTTGCACACCTCAGGTCTTAGGGACAGACACACCGCGCAAGGCTGGGCGCCCTCTGCGTGCCCCGCCTGGTTCCTAAGGAGAGGCTTTGTGTCAGGTGGCGTGGGACAGGGAAGGATGCCTGGGGCACTGGCCCGGCTCTGAAGGCCCAGAGCAGACAGGCAAAGGGCGAGATGTGACACGCACTAGCACGAGGGCAGCACAGCCACCCCGCCCCAGAGAACCCAGACCTGGGGAGCTGGTTCTCACACTCGTCTCCACGAAGGTGCCACGGTGCAGTGGCCACTGGCTCCTTCGTGTGTCACGTATCAGCAAGAACCCTGCCTTTAGAGTCCCCATGTGCCAAGGGGGCTCGCTCTTTCCCGGGCAAGGCTGAGGGTGGCGTGTTAGCCGGCTGCAGGGAGGCCAGCACGTGCTCATGCCTGCCTGACCGGTGCTGTGACTTCAGTGCGTGACCTTCCGACTCAGCTGTGCAGAGGGTGAGGGGGCCCAGGGAGCGGGGGACAGGAGTGCCCAGTGCCACGGGCCCTGCACACCCTCGCGGTCTCAGGCAGCTGTCAGGCTGATCCAGGGCTGGCTTCGAAGCTGGGGTGAGAGCAAGGCTGTGCTTAGATGCTCCGGCACAGCCGAGGTTTTGGCCTGGCAGTCAAAGCCTGCCCTGAGGGACAAGTGCACAGTGTCCCCTCCGTCCCGGCTGCTGGACTCTGCACGCGGCAGCCTGGTGTGGAGGTGAGTGCCCCAGCCAGGGCCTGACCCCGGGTCCACCTGAGGGGAGGTGGGACACCGCTCGAGGCCCAACTCTCTCTGCTGCAAAGACTCATGTTGTCAGCTCTGCACCCCGAGAGGTGCCCTGGGGGTTCCTGGCCCCGTGGGGAAGGCTCTCTGGTGCAGCAGTAGCAGGCTATCAGCCCCCCTGCGAGGAATCGAGGAATCGACCACACACTCCTTCGAGGAATCGACCACACACTCCTCACTTCCTCAGTCGGCCCCAAGGCAGGGCCAGGTCCCCACCCAGGCCAGAAAGGGCATTTTTCAGGACTTCACAACTGAGCCCGAGGGTGTGGCCACCATGGGTGGGCCCAGGGCCCGGGCTTCATGGATGTCCACAGGCACACGCACTGGCACACGCCCACTCTCACACACACCTGTGCTCACACCTGCACAGCCACTCATAAAGGACCACACTCTCTCAGATGCAAACTCACACCCCCACACAGTCACCCCCCCACAGCCACACACATTGTCACCCCCCATAGTTACACACACACAGTTACACACACACACAGTTACTCACACAGTCACACACACTCACTCAGGCCTGGGCACCTCGTGGGTGGCACAGAGACCAGCCCTTGGCGGGAGGCTGCATCTGTAGGGCAGGACGGTCGCGGGTCGCGGGTCGCGGGTCCCGGAGCCGGCTTACCCACGGTGAGCATGGCTTCCTCCAGCAAGCCGCTCGTCTCACTCCTGATGCTGTCCTCGATGCTCTTGTTGGCGAGCTTCTCGTACTCCTCGAACACTGCAGGGCGAGGCTCCGCTCAGGCTCCGCTCAGGCCCCGCGGGCCCGGGAGGCGCGGCCAAGCCTGCAGGGCGCTGTGCCCCCCGACCTCCCCCTCGGCTGCCGGTGGGGGCTCCGGGCTCGCTCCCCAGCTCCGTGACCGCAGAGAGTTGCGCACCAGACAGCCTGGGCCGTGCCCGCTGCCCTGGGCCGCCCCCGTGCCCCCGCACCTCTCATCAGGTGAGTGGCGCTGCGTGTGCACAGGATGGTGATGAACTTCATCTCATCGGTGCCCTGGATCTTCTCCCCCGCTGCGTACAGGTCCTAGCACCGGGCATGACAGCACCTCTGAAGGTCAGAGGTGCGGGACAGCCCAGAGCCCCCAGGGCCCCAGAGCCCAGAGCCCAGAGCTGCGCCCACACAGCCCCCAGACGCCGGGCCAGCGTTCTCCTAGCTTGTCGTCCCCTTGAGGGAGCCACACCAGGCTGAGCTCTCCTCTGACAGCTCAGGCTCAACCTCAAGCTTGGGCTTTTCCATGTGGGGCCAGCAGCTGCTCTGGGAGCCACCCCTCTCCAGGCCACCAGGACAGAGCTTCAGCCACCTCTACCCAAGCCATGTCCCGTCTGTCCCTCCTTTCTGGGCTCTCCCCAACACCCTTGGTCCCCTCCTCAGACACCCTGAGGCCAAAGCCTGTGGGGAACCTCACTGGGTGGTCTCTACTGAGCCTCAAAGAAAGCCCTGTGAGCAGAGACGCCCAGCAAGGCCTCCGGGCGCCAGCCTCTGGGGTGCAGAGGGCGGCGGGGCTGCCTCACCTGGGCATCTTGGACGGCCAGCGCTGGGTCCACGAAGCTGCTCACATCATCCCTGCTGCCCTGGGAGGGGAGGAGGCTCTGTGAGGCAGGCCAGGCAACCAGAGCAGCTGGGGGCTGGAGGGGAGACTGGGGACAGCCTGGGAGACCCAGAATGGGCGGGTAGGTGGGCTCTGCTGCTTTATGGCCATGGACCTTTGGCATGCCGGTCCCCTGCCCTCTGCCGGTGTTGGTTACCTCATCCCTAACTGGGAGTAGTAAAGGCTGCCCCGCGGGATTCAGGGGCCCTAGGCGGCTACAGTGAGCAAAGGGCTTGGCACGGGCCTGGCCCAGGGAGGATGGCCTGCTTAGTGACCGGCGCCCTTAGCGGCCGAGTCGGGAAGGTGCAGGGGCTCCAGTCAGGACCCTCCAACCACACTGAGAGGGGACCCCAGGCTGCCGGCTGCCCTCTGCCTATTTCCAGCAGGAGTCCTGCTCAAGGTCTCCCCATGGGGGAGTGGCTGGGACACAGAGCCAGGCCCGGGCTGGCTGGTACCTGTAGGAGGCACACCAGAATCCGCTCCAGGTAGCCGCTTGTGTCTGCTTGGATGTCTTCCTCCAGGCTGGAACCGTAGTCTGTGGGAAGCAGGACAGAGGCCCGGGCGGAGGTCAGAGCCGCCTAGAGTCCGTCCACTGGGCTCCTGCCAGGCCAGTTCCTATAGGTCCCCCAGGGAAAGCCTTCGAGGGACAAGTCCCCAGCATAGCATGGACGCAGCGACTAGGTGTCCAAGTGGCAGCTGCCTGTCCCCAGGGCAGTTGTTCAACTAGAGGGGACATGGATGCCCAAGCTCAAAGCACAACGCTGGGCCTGGCCAGGGGCTGCCCTTCGAGCTCCGTTTCACAGCGTTTGGCAAAGCCCCAGCCTC